GCTGCTGCTGCTGCTGGGGTGCAGCAGGGGGAGCGTAGGGCGTGAAGTTAAGAGCAGCTGCGTGGTGCTGCAGCGCCGCAGCAAAACCCTTAACCCTAAACCCTAAACCCTAAACCCCAGTAGTAGCGGCGGCCGGTCTCACAAACCCTAGAACAGCTCCCTCAAGCCCCAAACCCTAAACCCTAAACCCTAAGCCCTTGAGGCTGGACGCACTGGCTGGTGTTGCTGCGCAACAACTGCTGTTGCATGCACTGCTGAATCTGGAGCAGCAGCAGCAGCAGCAGCAGCTGCTGCTGCTGCTGCTCTCTTGCTCAGTGGCACGTACTCCGCAGCTCCAGCTGCAACAGCAGCACGAGCGTAGGCCTGCAGCAGCAATAACAGCAGCAGCCAGTTATGCTGAGCAGCAGCAGCAGCAGCAGCAGCAGCTATAGCAGCAGTGACTGCAGCAGCAGCAGCAGCAACTGCAGGAGCAGCAACTCCAGCAGCAGTAACTGCAGCAGGGGCAGCTGCAATGGCCGCAGCTAAAGCAACAGCACCTGACGCAACAGCAGCAGCAGTAACTGCAGCAGCAGCAGCTGCAACAACAGCAACTGCAGCAGCAGCAGCAGCAGCAGCAACTTACGGCTCCTGTGTTCAGCAGATCCTCTGTTGGAATATCTTCGTTTGCCGCGTCGAAGGGGAAAACCTCCCTGAAGACCAAACCCTAAACCCTAAACCCTAAACCCTAAACTGCAGAGCTGCCAAGCATGCTTGTGGCTTAAGAGTTTGTTATGCCTCCAGGGTTTGGCTTTCGCATTAGGGTTTAGGGTTTAGGGTTTAGGGTTTACCCGAGGAGCCGGGGCGGCAGCAGCTGCAGCAGCAAAGCCCCTCTAAAACACCTTTCTTGTATGTCAGTGGAGCCGAGGTACTTTTGCTGCTGCTGCAGCAGCTGCAGCACGAGGCCGTCAACAGCTGCTGCCTTTCCTGCTGCTGCTGCAGGCCCTGCTGCTGCTGCTGCTGCTGCTGCTGCTGCTGCATTCAGCGCCGACAGCTTCACCAACGCCCACAGCGCCCAGCCCTGGGTGCTCGCGTTTTTGGTGCTGCAGACACAAGGGTTTAGGGTTTAGGGTTTAGGGTTTGGGGGCCCCAAGCGCCGTGTGCTCAGCCCCGCCGCTCATGGCCCACGACCCCGCTAGGGTTTAGGGTTTAGGGTTTAGGGTTTAGGGTTTACCGCAGCGCTGCCTCCCGTAGCAGGGCCAGCAAGTCATGCTGCGTGAAATCCGGCAGAGAGCAAAGGGAGCCATACTCCCCCAGCACCCAACTTGCCACCTGAACACAAACCCTAAACCCTAAACCCTAAACCCTAAACCCTAAACCTAATTGTGGGGTTTCCGGCGGCGGCTGAAGAGCAAACCCCTAAACGGTTTTGCTGCGCTTAAAGCTACCCTTACAAAACCCTAAACCCTAGCAATGCCCGCCCTAAACCCTAAACCCTAGCCACGAAGACAAGCCCTGAAGACTCGCTGTCGATAAGGTGGACGAAATCCCTAAACCCTAAACCCTAAACCCTAAACCCTAGCCGCGTAGCTGCACCCTGCGCCTGCGCCCTCGCCATGAAGCTTCCCCAAACCCTAAACCCCAAACCCCAAACCCCAAACCCCAAACCCCAAACCCCAAACCCTAAACCCTAAACCCTAAACCCTAAACCCACCTGGATGAGGATGTCGGGCAGCTGCTTCTTTTGCTGCAGCAGCAGCGCCAAAGAGTTGACCACATAAGTCCTGAAAGCTGTGTCTTCTTCGGGGGTTCCGTCGCTGCCGTCGAGCAGCAGCTGCAGCAGCGACTGTGCTGCGTGAACTGCTGCTGCTGTGCTGCTGCTGCTGCTGCTGCTTGCTGCTGCTGCCAGCGCGGGGGCCACTCCAGCAGCACTTAAGGACGCGCAGGCCCCCCCCACTTCCAGCAGCGACAGCACCGCGCCCACGAACCACTTGGGGTTTGGCGAAAACCTGCGCCGCAAAGGGTTTAGGGTTTAGGGTTTAGGGTTTAGGGTTTAGGGTTTGGGACCTCTCTGCAAGCATGGCGACTCGGGAAACGAGGCTGGCGCGGAGGTGAGGGTCTGCTGCAGTGCGCAAGTGCTGCATGAGACTGGAAACCACGAAGGCGACGTTGCTAGGGTTTGTGATTGCAGAAAGAAGACAAAGGGTTTTGTGTTTGAGAGTATCATCTGCATCTTCCAAGCAGTCAATCACAGCTAGCTGGTGGCTAGCCACGTGGCTAGCTGCCACTGCAGCAAGCGCAGCAAGCCCCGCCACGCCCACGTAGCGCAGGTTGTTGTTGCTGCACAGCAAAAACTTGGAAGTTGCTGCTGCTGCTGCTGCCAGCAGCCGCTGCTGCGGGTAGACTGCAGCAGCAGCACAAACCCCCGAATACACCAACGCAAACCCTATATTAGCGGAACAGTCTGCCCGCCGCATTGTTTCCTCCAACACCAAATAAACCTCCGAAGAAAGACGAGGGTCTCCAGCCACCAAGGAAGACAACACCGATAGGATGTTCATCTGCGACGCAAACCCTAAACCCTAAACCCTAAACCCTAAACCCTCACGCAAGCCCTGCACCCGCACGCAAACCCTACACCCTCAACCCTCAAACCCTAGACGCGCACGCAAACCCTAAGCCCTCATGCAAACCCTAAACCCGCACGCAAACCCTAAACTCTCACGCAAACCCTAAACCCTCACGCAAACACTAAACCCTCACGCAAACCCTAAACCCTCACGCAAACCCTAAACCCTCACGCAAACGCTCAACCCGCATGCACACTCTGAACCTTTAGGCCGGGCTCCAGCCACCAGCGAAGACAACACCGACAACATGTTCATCTGCACACCCCAAACCCTAAACCCTAAACCCTCCTCAAACCCTCACGAAAACCCTAAACCCTCAAGCGCGTCCCCAGCCACCAGCGAAGAGGCACCAACAAACCCCAAACCCTAAAACCCAAACCCGCCAAGAACCCCGAACCTAAGCCCCAAACCCTAAACCCTAGACCCTGCAAAACCCCAAACCCTAAACCGTAAACCCTAGACCCTAGACCCTGCAAAACCCCAAACCCTAAACCCTAGACCTAAACCCTAGACCCTGCAAAGCCCCAAACCCTAAACCCTAAACCCTAGACCCTGCTTGCCTGGATCCAGGGCGCGGGGACTCTGTGGTACTCGTAGTCTTTGGGGAGTTTTCTGTCGATGATTTGTTTGAGAATGGAAACCAAAGAAGGAATGAAAACCCTAATTTGGGGTTTGTGAGTTTTGGCCAAAAGTCCCAAAAGATGAACCGAAACCCCCATGACAGAAGGGTCTCCGTCGCAGACTGCGCGGCGCACTTTCCCGAACAAATCCTCCACCACGTAGCCCTCCTGCTGCTGCTGCTGCTGCTGCTGCTGCGGCTGCTGCTGCTGCTGCTGCTGCTGCTGCTGCTGCGGGTCCGGCAGCGGGGGCGGGGGACTCAGAGTGAGAATGCGGTGCAGCACCATGAGGGCTTTGCGGCGAATTGCTGCTGCTGGATGCTGCAGCAAATCTGCTGCTGCAGCAGCAACACAAGGCAGCATGTCGAGGGTCAGCAGCCGCGAGACGCACTGCAGCGCCGCGTGCACAAACAACACGTTCGGAGAACGCAGGTCCTGCAAACGCAAACCCTAAACCCTAAACCCTAAACCCTAAACCCTAGACCCTAGACCCTAGACCCTGGCCTGGACATTCAGTCCTCAGCCCTGGCAGGGAACCCTAGACCCTAGCCCTTAGCCCTGAGCGCTTCACCCCACACCCGAAACCCTAAACCCTAAACCCGTGAGCCCTAAACCCTAAACCCTAACCCTAAACCCTCGGCCCTAAGTCCTAAACCCTAAACCCTGGGGGAGAGACAAGACGCTGCTAACTGAAACGGCCCTGCAGCGCCCCCAAACCCTAAACCCTAAACCCTCATCCTCCCAAGGCCAAAACAAACGCTGCGAGACAAAAATGAGCCAAGTGGAACAAACAAGCAGCTCGGCAGACAAACTTAGGGTTTAGGGTTTAGGGTTTAGGGTTTAGGGTTTAGGGTTTACCTTCTGGATAGTGTTCACGAGCAGAAGCATCAGCTCGTGGTCTTGGTGGAGGAACAAGTTGCAGGCCAAGTATCCTGCACGAGACAAACCCCAAACCCTAAACCCTAATCCCTAAACCCTAATCCCTAAACCCTAAACCCTAGACCCTCGAACGACTCGCGCTGTTCCTGTTGCTGCTGCTGTCTGGCAGCTCAGGCGATAGATAATTAGGGTTTGCAGAGAGCCTCTCCGGAGGCAAAAAGCAGCTAGGGTTTAGGGTTTAGGGTTTAGGGTTTGCGCAGCTGGGGAGTGCCAAGAGGAGCAGCCGCGCTGCTGGAGCAGCAGGACCAACGGTTTAGGGTTTAGGGTTTTCGGGCTGCGGCTTCCTGGGCGCGACGCTCAGGCCTTCGCGCTAGGGTTTAGGGCTTAGGGTTTAGGGTTTAGGGTTTAGGGTTTAGGGTTTAGAGGACCTATCCACTTCGCCTTGGCCTGCTGCTGATTCGCCAAGTTAACTGCATGGATATGTGCAAAGGCGGCGCTGTGGCCCAGCAGCTCGATATAAATGCTTCGGATTATGAATTCTTGCATCTTGCGCTGCAAACCCTAAACCCTAAACCCTAAACCCTAAACCCTAAACCCTAGCGCGGCCCCCTCACGCCCCCCGGCGCAGGCTGCGCGCAAGCTGCGCGCGAGGGTTTAGGGTTTGCTGCGCGCCTCGCTTCAGGGTTTGCAGCTACGGCGCAGGCGCAGCCAGCCCCGAGGGTTTAGGGTTTAGGGTTTGTGGTTTAGGGTTTGTGGTTTAGGGTTTGTGGTTTAGGGTTTGTGGTTTAGGGTTTGTGGTTTAGGGTTTGCGTACTGTCGAGACTCTGGGCTGGTTCATCCGCTGCTTCAACACGACAGTCTCATTGGCTATGATGCGGTCTTCCTCCTGTGCGCTGTCTTCCAAACTGCCCCTCGTGAAGCGCCACCTGGAGGCCTTCGCAGTCACTATTCTCGCAGTGGTCCCCTAAACCCTAAACCCTAAACCCTAAACCCTAAACCCTAAACCCTAAACCCTAAACCCTAAACCCTAATACTCCATCCCGCATACTGAATCCGCACAGCGCAAAGCCTAAACCCTAAACCCTAAGCTGTAAACCCCAACCCTTGGGCCTGAAAAGCACCAAGTGCTAGGGATAGAAAGCCCAAACCCTTAACCCTAAACCCTAAACCCTAAACCCTAAACCCTACCTGCTTAGACCTTGCCTCTCCAATGAACTTGATGAGGTCGAAGAACTCACGGCTAACGTGGGGGCCAGCGCCATTCATTTTCGCGAGGATTTAGGGTTTAGGGTTTAGGGTTATGAGTGAGATAGGGCCGTGACTAAACCCTAAACCCTAGGTTTCTAAACCCTAGGTTTCCGTTGTAGCTGCTGCTGCTCCAGAGGCTTCAGCCGCAGCAGCACCCGCTGCAGCGGCTGCTGTTGCGGCAGTTGCTGCTGCTGTCCTATTTACTGCTGCTGCTGCTGCTACTGTCCTATTTGCTGCTGCTGCTGCTGCTGTCCTACTTGCTGCTGCTGCTGCTGTCACGGCTGCTGCTGCTGCTGGAGCTGCTGCCGCTGCTGCTGCAGTCGCTGCCGCCGCTGCCGCTGCAACCGATGTTGCCGCTGCTGCTGTGCTCTTTTACGCAGGGGCGAGCAGGGTTTGGGGTTTAGGGTTTAGGGTTTAGGGTTTAGGGTTTAGACGGCGTCGCTCGGCGCCGCCGACACGCACGGGCACGATTTACGGGACAGGGTTTAGGGTTTAGGGTTTAGGGTTTAGGTTTTCTGTCCTATCAAGCCAAAATTTTGTTTTTCGAGGCCCCTAAAAAACAAATTAGATGAGCAGCTGAGGTGTAGCTGTAGCTTTTGCTGCTGCTGCTGCGTGTCCTGGCGTCGCTTGCTGCTGCTGCTGCTGCTGCTGCTGCTGCTGCAGGAAGAGACGCGTTGCCGCAGTTGCTGCAGCTTGCTGCTGCTCTTTGAGCATCAACACGACCTGCGGCAGCACGTGTTGTTGCTGCTGTCTTTGCTGCTGCGGTCGAAGGCGCTGCATGCACAAGCAGCAGCAGCAGCAGCAGCAGCAGCATTGGGCTGTTTGCTGCTGGGGCTGCAGCAAGATCAGCAGCAGCAGCAGCAGCAATGAATTTGAATTCAGTTTTCCTTTTCATTTAAAACGCGCCCCCTAGATAGATCCTAGATATAACATCTTCTTTGGGCGGTACGGAGCCGTCATAGCTGCTGCTGCTGCTGCTGCTGCTGCTGCTGCTGCTGCTGCTAGAGCCGCTGCTGCTGCTACAGCCGCTGCTGCTGCTACAGCTGCTGTTGCTGCTGCCGCAGCTGAAACAATGACGCGAGGGCCGCAGCGGCTCGCATGGCTCGGCCTGCTGCTGCTGGTTCTGCTGGCGCTCAGCAGCAGCAGCAGCAGCAGCAGCAGCAGCAGCAGCAGCAGCAGCAGTTATGGATTGGTTACCTTCGCTGACGCGCAGGTCTGCTGAGGGAGCCCTAAACCCTAGAAGCTGACCTGTTAACAACAAAAGCCCAAACCCTAAACCCTAAACCCTCAGCTGCACAGCTCCAAACCCTGGCGCATGCAAGCCTCGAGGCGCCCGTTCTGGCAAAGCGCTCGGCTGTGTCTGCTAGGGTTTAGGGTTTAGGGTTTAGGGTTTAGGGTTTGTGGTCCTCAGGGCTTTCGAGGGGCGCCGCAGCTGGCAGAGGCTGGAGCTCCTCCGCGAGTAAGCTCTAAACCCTAAACCCTAAACCCTAAACCCTCACCCCTGGATACGGGACCTGCAGCTAGGGGTCTGCGGTTTAGGGTTTAGGGTTTAGGGTTTAGGGTTTGCTGCGTGCAGCGACTCCAAGCGGGCATCAGCTTCGACGAACAGGACAGGGCGCAGAAAGGGTTTATCGTCATTTGGTGCGCTAAACCCTAAACCCTAAACCCTAAACCCTAAACCCTCAGCCCAGTGCAGTTTGGAACTTAAAGACGCCCCTCATGCAGGCAGAAGATGCTGTGAGCCTAGGGTTTGCTTAGGGTTTAGGGTTTAGGGTTTAGGGTTTAGGGTTTAGGGTTTTGCAGGATGAGCATCACTCTAGTGTTCGTGGTGATCCTCGGCATTTGGGTAACCCTCAAGATCGCCGATGTGAGCAAGCCCTAAACCCTAAACCCTAAACCCTAAACCCTAAACACTAGGCTGCCTTCTGGGAGCTGCCTCTTTGCCTTTTTTGTAGAAGCTCCTGCTGCCGAGGGTTTAGGGTTTAGGGTTTAGGGCTTGCTGCTTGCGCCAAAGCCCCCTGGGAGGTCGTGCTTCAACGAGGGCTTAGGGTTTAGGGTTTAGGGTTTAGGGTTTGAGGTGCCTACAGGTGACCGATCCGCTGCTGCACACGAAGTTTTTTGCTGCCCGATAGCTGCTGCTTCTTAGAGCA